AATATCGAGTTGCGGCATGTAACACTTCCCTCCTTAAATTGAAGATCTTTCTTGATATTTCGAAAAATATATTCGGATTTCGCAGATATAATTATAATCAATTTGTATAACTTAATAATAGTATTCCGAATATGACAATATGGTGACTTAATTCTGAGCTTACACTCATAACATATTGATACACATACACACAAAATTTCCAAAAATCCATTTTATTATGTTAATAATTATATTTTTCTTAGTTTTATAAAAAGAGAATAAGAAGAGAGAGCATGTGTCACGACGACGCCCGTCAATGAACCAGTCGTAAAAATCCGTAATTATTTTTGTGAAAAATATTCGCAGCCAGGAATCGAACCTAGATCTCCTGCTTACCGGGCAGGCATCTTATCCTTTCGACTACAGAAACATGTGATGATATTTATCGCAAATAACATATTTAGAATAACATATCAACAATACAATGATACATATATATATATATATATATATATATATATATATATATATATATATATATATATATATATATAATATACGTATATTCAATTACATATATACATGTATTCTTTCGAATCCCCACGACCGATACTTATATATGTACGTCGCTTACAACTAATGTTAAACTTGAGAGTCGATCATTACGAGGAGATTGGCGTGTCTCCGTATTTATTTTGGATTCCCAAGTTACACTACCTTGGGAGGATTCATTATCTTCGGTAAGTATCGCGGTGAATGTAACTACCTGTCGTGTATTATTTTGCGGATAGCGAGTGTTAACATTATTATTGAAACATTTGTAGAAATATTGAGTACAACCTTCTTTGGTACGCAACAGACTTTAACAATGAATAGATTTGCTTATTAATGAACATTTTCCTATTATACAGAGTGTTCCGCATTTGGAGTTCACTACGTGATTTTTTATGCTAAAAGAAACAACTTTTTTCTTTAGCAAAATTGCGTGCGACGAGTAGTTTTTACAGTAAATCAAATTAAAAGTGACGAATAAATACGCATATGTGTGTAACGGTCAGGCCGGCGCGGCCTGGTATCTAATCTTTGACGACTTCACGTACTATATTGTTTAAAATATGATAAAAGTTAACAAATTAAGTATTGTTTTCATCCTTTAACGATTAAATAAAAAAATTGTCTGATTTCATAGCATTATCTCGAAATAAAAATAAATGTAAATAATATGGTGTATGAACTGAGCTATTCTATTATTTTAATTACTGCGCAATTGCATATAACAATAAAAAAAATACTGAATTTAACTATTTTAGAAATGATATTGTATCCAACACAGAAGGCATATGATAATGATCGCATATTGTCTCCTGATAGTTATATGCAATCTTGTTTCAGGTGGAATAGCTTTTTGAACCGCAGATTGTTTAGTAATCGATGGTCCGAGTATTTGTAACAATTTCTCAAAAAATATTGGTTCTAATCGGAAATAATTAAAGAATTTTTCACGATCTTGTTACTCCAGTTCATTAAATTATTGCTCGCTTCTTGTGCTAACCGTCGTTCAATATTAAATATTGGACTGACTCAATATTTTCGTTTTCCTTTATCAGCTTTTTTTCACTTTTTATTAATGTATAATAGAATAAAGTGCATACATCTTAAATAATTTTACAATATATTTCCTGCCTGATGAAAGTATTATAATTGTGTTTTGAACGTTTTATTAATAACAAAAGCAAAAGCAATATTGTTCTTGATTTCATTCTACACCTGTTAAACCAAATGCGAATTTTTTCATTTAATTATATTAAACAATAAATATTTAATTAAATATCCATAGTGTGTAAGTAAATTTGATTAAATTTTATTAAATATTAATTGTGAATTTAATTAACAATTAATGTAAATTGTTAATTAAATCCACAATGAATATTTAATAAAATTTAATATAAATATTAATTGTTAATTAAATTTACAATTACTCACATAGAACATAATCTCCAGTGGACGTCTATTGAATCTCCATGGCTCCATTAAACTTCCATCGAACGTTTATCTTCACGATGGAAGTCAGATAGACGTTCATTAGAGGTCTAAGGAACTTCCACGGTGGATGATGCTCTAAGATTCCATTGTGGATGTCTATTAGCCGTCCAGCGAACCTTCACGGTGGGTGGTTTCCACACGGAACATGACATCCATTAGAGGTCCACATAACCTCCACGGCCTCCATGCAACATTTATCTTCATGGTGGAAATCACATAAATCTCTAATGGAGTTATATACTATCTCCATGATGGAGCTCTGATGGAATTTTACCAAATCTCTTAGACGTCTTATGGAGATTGTATGGATGAATTATAGATGTTTTATGAAACTTTCATGGATCATATACAGAGCTTTAATTGGAGATTTTAGATCCTTTGTAGATGATTACTTTATGATAAAAATTGAGAATATATATTTATAAATAAATTAAAAATTTATTGCATTATCTTATTTATTCGTATTTGATTGTATATAAAATTTTATACCAAACACAAGAAAACATATATTATCGAATATTATATATTGTCGAATAAAAGAAATATCTCACGTATTTAATACGATCAATAAATATCATAAATGAGTAAATAGAATATATACGTAAATTTATAAACACTACTCACATGGAACATGATATTAAAAATCCATATATATAATAATCTTCTTACCTATATATATATAT